GGTGAAAAGGGCACTTTGGTAATTTTGCTAAGGGGTTGATGTCATTATCCAAATTATTGGGAGAATTTTTAGCAAAATTGTAATCATATTAATTTTAATTAATACGGAGAATATATATTTAATTTAGTTAAATATATATTAAAACTCATATATTAAATATGATAAACATATATAAATATATATGGATTAAATAAATAGTAATATTTATTTAATTAGAATATATATTTATATAGGAATTAAATAAATATGAATATTTATTTAATTATGATGCATATTTAGGAGAATGTCTTTAAGAGATATTTTAATCCCTTATATCAAGGATTGCAATCCAATTCAAATAAGAATTAAAAGGATTGTAATCCAATCCGAATAGAAATTAAGGATTTACAATCCTTATTAGACTCTTATTTGGGATTGTCTATATAAAGAGTCATTGAGTTTTGTTTTAAGAGAGCGAAGATCATAAAGTTAATTTTGCAAATTAAATAGCAAAATTAACTCTCCTAAAAACCCTAGCCACCTCCCTTAAGCCCTACGATTGATCTAGCAGTCGATCCTAGTGTGGATACCTACGGATTCAATCCTATGTTGGATTGATAGTGAAGTACCTGTGAACAATACCCGTGAACAGTACCCTGTAAACAGTATATGTGAACAATACGGTAAACAGTATTTGTGAACAAGGTATGTGAACAGTATCTGTGAATAATGCCAGTGAACAGTACTGAAAGTTCTAATCCAGAGGAGGAGCCGCCAACAGGAGGTATGTCACATAACCTTGTATGGTTGTTTTAATTTATGTTGATTAATTTAGTCGAAATCGTGATCTTGGGTAAGGGAATCGTTCCATGGCAAGAAATTTTTTTGTTATTATTCCGCGCTTGCCACAGCATGGTTCCTACAATTTGTTGATTGCATGTGTTAATTTTAATTTGTTGATTAAAATTGTTCAATTGAAATTGATTAAGTGTGATTTGTTAATGAATTGCGTTGGGATTAATTTTATGCCTTTGTTTTAATTTTTTTTTTAAATTGATTATCGGAACCCTAATCGTGTGCCACCATGTGTGGTGGTGCACGACTGTTGTGTGCTGCCGTGCGCAGCAACAAGCACCTGCTGAGCGTTGCGGTGCACAACAATAGTATGTCACGCACAACAGCTTTATGGCTGCATGCAACGACCGCAAACGATGTTGTAGTGGCCAAGTACAAACACGCACATCCACTGCGCTACCCGTTGTTGCTCGTCGCTGCTGCTGTGGGGGCTGTGCGCTTTTGCACATTATTGTTGTCCTACTCCATGAGTGGCAGTTTTCATGGCTGTGCACATTTGTGCATGGCCAATCTATGACGGCCATGTGTGAAAAAACATGGTCTTGACCAGCACATGACAATTTCAGCCATGTGTATCTGTTGTTGTGTGAAATTGCGCACAACAGACCTACATGCGACAGTAGATAGGTTCTCCTCAAACTTTAGCTCCCGTTCGCGTAGTACCGCGAATTTTGGTGCGAGTTTTCCATCCACATGTTAAATGTGTGAGGATCGATATGGGAGGTGTGCCTAGTGTAACAATTCCCACATTGGAAGCGTATTGGGGAGGTCTTGGGCTTATAAATGGGAGGAGTCCCTCCACCTAATAGGTTAACCTTTTGGGTGTGAAACTCCCAGCCCGTGACAAGTGGTATCAGAGCAGACCCAATTCGTCTTTCGATGTCCCGTCAAGCGCCCACGCAGGGGCGTCCACGTGTAATTGTGGGTCTACACGAGAGTGAGGTGGATGGGTAGACAGGGGGCCCCACTTGTGACGAGGGCGTCACAAGATTGGGTGGGGGAGAATGTAACAATTCCCACATTGGAAGCGTATTGGGGAGGTCTTGGGCTTATAAATGGGAGGAGTCCCTCCACCTAATAGGTTAACCTTTTGGGTGTGAAACTCCCAGCCTGTGACACTAGGTTTTTTGAGACCTGTAGCATAGGTTTCGAGCAAGTTGTCAAGCAAGCAGTTTTTCTGCGCGTTGTTGCGACAACAAGCAGACTGTCCTCGAACTTTAGCTCCGTTCGTGTTGTAGCATGTATTTTTGTGCACGGTCTTTTTCCATGTGTTGCTGCATGTGTGAGGAACATTTTGGTATGCCTGCCCAAGTTTTTGGACTCGTGTAACATAGGGCTTCGAGCAATTTACAATAATGCAATTTTTCTGCACGTTGTCCCGTGTGAACTGACTACATCCTCATAAAGTGTTGATTTCAGAGGCTGTGGTGAGTCAAGTGACTCACAAATTGTATCATATGAAAGAGGACATGTTGGTGCATTTCCTAGTATTTTAAAATAGTTGCTGCCCACATGTGTTGTTGCGCACGAGAGCGTTTTCGAGCAACCTTTGTATTGACAAATTTTGGACTGTTTTGGGTTAATAATTGCGCATTGTTGCATGCAATTTTACTTGAAGATTATTTGGAGTGTGTTGATGCACATTTGCTGTAATTTGGTGGCCCAATTGTTTGAAGTCCGTCAATAGGGACTAAACTGCAAAGTTCAAAACCTATTGGACCTAAAGAATTCTACAAATTATTAAGGAGTAATGTAATTATCTACATTGAATCAAAATATTCTTTTGATTGTTTGAATGCAATGCTTCTATGTGTGTTATTGCAAGGTACCCAGTACATGAGCCTTAGACCTAATGGTGTATGTTTTTAATTGAATTTTCTAAGAATGTATGTTTGTACATTTTTATGATAGGGTCTGCATATCTTGCCTTTCTGTCAACTTTATTGTACATTCTTTTCTTACCTCACTCCCCTCGAATGTAACTCGAGGTTTCCAAATTTATCAATGTAAATTAAAATAGTTGTATTTTAATTTCTTGTAAATTTATAATATTATGCAGTTAAAGACGAAGTGAAGGAGCAACATTCATTCCTGAAAACTCAAGATTTGTATTGTTTAGTACAAGACCCTAGGTTGACCCACCCATTCCTCTAAGCTTGAGGAGACCAGTTTTTAGTTAGACCATGCACCGGCATGTTTAATTTCTGCTTAGAATGCATGATTAAGGTTGAATGTTTCACATGCCTAATTATGTATTAATAAAATGGTGAGACATAATAAAAACCCCTTGTAAATGATATTAAGTTATATACATTTCAGTGCCTTCCAACACTATAGGCTTAATCAAACCATTGTTCGTCGCAACCGTGTTCGCATCAGCGAAGGGAACACTTCTATCAGTGGGAGGTTAAGTTACATTGGAACTTTTCTTTAATAGAGTTGGGTTAAGACTTAACTAGTAGTTTTGCTTGTTCGCATCAGGGAATGTTATTAACAATACTAAAGGCATAGTAGAGAAATGCAATCGAATAATGCACGAGTTGACATGTAGTGTCTACTCTATTGATCCGAGAGTTACACTTGAGGACAATGGTTTGTGTCATTGGATTATGTAATTGGTTTGTTTGCTTTGTTTACATTGAGATCTTTGGTGGGTGTCATAGATTGATGTAATTTAAGTTTGTCGCCTACCTAATTAACCCATTTTGGCTTGTTCACATCAGTGAAGGTTTAAATGGAATTGATGGGATCTTGGCCCACTAGGAAGACTAACGGCCTTCTCGAGTTTAATAATGACGGCTATCAGCTTGAGTAAAATAGTGGGAGCGTTTGTTTAATTAAAGACCTCATTAAACAAATGATTATAACATGAAATTAATTCTCTTATGTTGCACTTGTAAAATCATATTAAAATGGACAACTCCAATTTAATGTTGCGATCTTTAATCGAAAATGAACACGGGCTGGATGGTAATAATTTTACAGACAGGTATAGAGATCTTTGAATTGTACTTGAGTCTGAAAATAAATTATGTACTATCGATCGGGCTCTATCTCAAGAGATTGATAATAACATAACCCTATAGTGTTTTTCATCGAATATGCGGAACATAATATAAAATTTTATTCGAAGAATCTCAACGCAAGATTAGGATTGATATGGTGTAACCCAAACTAAACTCATACAAGGTTAGAACTTTTTAATACCTTCGTTGGTGGCTCCTTCAATTGGATTGAATTTGAACTTCGCTAACAATTCAAAGGGAGAATCGAGCAAGTCAGTATCCACACAAAAGCAGGATTGGATCTCAGTTGAATCAATTGCTAGATAGATTCAATTGCTCAAGGAAGGCCATGAAATTGAGAGAAAGAATTTCTCTCTCAAGCAAGGGAATTGCGGCCAAGGTTAGGGTTTAGGAGAAANGGCAGGCAATGGAACATGAAATGAGGTCACTTGAGGTAAATAGAACCCGGTCCTTGGTTCCCAAACCCAAGGACCAAAAACTAATCAAATGCAGATGGTTGTACAAGATTAAAGAGGGAATTTCAGCTACTAACCCCCCTAGGTACAAAGCTAGGCTAATAGCTAAGGGTTACACCCAACGCGAAGGAATAGACTTCAATGAAGTCTTTTCCCCTGTAGTCAAGTATAAAACCATTAGGTTAATGCTCTCCATTGTTGCCCATTATAACCTAGAGCTAGAGCAGATGGATGTTACCATTGCCTTTCTGCATGGTAACTTAGAAGAGGACATTTACATGAGCCAACCTCTAGGTTTTATTGATCCCAAGAAACCTGACCATGTGTGCATTCTGGACAAATCATTGTATGGACTAAAATAGTCCCAAGACAGTGGTATAAGAGGTTTGACAATTTCATTGTAAGCTTAGGATACACTAAGAGTAGATATGACAATTGTTTCTATTTTAATTTGAATCATAACCTACCTATATATCTTTTACTGTATGTGGATGATATGTTACTTGTGAGTGAGTCTAAGTCTAAAATTCATGAGTTAAAGGGTCACCTTAGATCAGAATTTGACATGAAGGATCTAGGAAATGCAAAAAGAATCCTAGGAATGGGCATTATCAGGAACAGGGATAAACATGAATTAATCATTAGGTAGAAATCATACTTAGAAAAACTAGTGTCTAAATTTGGTATGGCTGATTCAAAACCAATGTCCATGCCTCTTACAAACCATGTTGTGTTAAACAAGAGTCAATGCCCTACAACTGAATCTGGGATAATCAAAATGGAATTTGTCCCCTATGCAAATGTTGTTGGATCTATGATGTATGGAATAATCAGTACCAGACCAGACCTGTCCTATTCCATTTCCTTACTGAGCAGATTTATGGCAAATCCAAGCAGTGAGCATTGGACTGCCTTAAAAGGAGTGTTAAGGTACATTAATGGTACCTTGAATGTTGGTTTAAATTTCTATAAAAGGCATAATACACTTGACTTGGTGGGTTTTGTAGACTCTGATTTTGTAGGTGACAAAGACACAAGGAAATCCACCACCTCATATTACTTTACCCTTGGAGGAAATTGCATTAGCTGGAAGTCACAGCTTCAGCCCATTGTTGCTCTCTCAACAACTGAAGCAGAGTATATTGCTATTGCTTATGTGTTTAAGGAATTTGTGTGGCTGTAAGGTCTGTTAGCCGAAGCAAAACTGACTGATGGCAAGGTTACTGTATTCTCAGATAGTCGAAGTGCAATTCATCTCAGTTAGAGTCTAGTATACCATGAGTAGACCAAGCATATGGATGTTCGTTTCCACTTCGTCAGGGACTTAGTATCATAGGGGGTAACTGATCTTATAAAGGTGTCAACTGAGGATAATCCAGCTGACATGGGAACCAAGGTTGTCTCACCTGCAAAGTTCAAGCACTGCTTGAACCTACTGCATGTAAGATAACCTGTGAAGACCAGAACAATGAAGGAACTGTTTGGGTTTGCTGCACTGTGAATGTTTAGCATTCAAGGTGGAGATTGTTGTGATTGAATGCTGAAACGGCATTGTACTGAGTATTAACGGAATGGTGTCGTTTTGAGACAGCTCTAAGATGATCCTGACTGCTGATTTAGAGGAAAAACCAACGGCTGAGATCAAGCCTCCAGTCAACACTATAAAAGGATTAGGGTTTCTTATTAACAGTAGATCAAACCAGAAAAAGTCAGAGACATTTTTGTTTTTTCCTTTTGTGCGATTAGGGTTCTTTCTTTTGGGTTTGATTTCAGTTGTAATCTGCGAGTTTCTTGAGTGATTTGGGTTAATCAGTCAAGGGAAGAACTTCTGTGTTCTTGTTGTAGGGATTTCCAGGTTAGAGGATTCCTAGGGCAGATTAAGGGTTTGAATCAGAGTTGTTTGATCTGGGTTCTTGGTTGTATTCTTGTAATCGTGACTGTAAGTGGTTGTTCTATAATCATAGTGTAGCGAACTCCTTTTTCGGAGTTCAACGTGGATGTAGCTTGCTCAAATAGGGCAAATGAACCACGGTAAAGATCTGGTGTTGATTGTTTGTGTTTTCTATTTTCTTGGTTGTTTGTGGTTGATTCTAGGTTGATTGCATAACAGTGGTATCAGAGCCATCGTCCTAGGGTGTATCTAGGTTTTAGAAATCGTTTAATTTTTTGACGAATCGAAAAATTAGGGTTTGTTCGAAAAAAAATTAGGGTTTCTCAGATTTTAGGGATTTCTCAATCCAAAGGTTCCTAGAGCTTTAGAACTTTGATTCTTGCTGAGTCTTGGGGTTATTTTGTGAGATTAGATCACAAACACTGGTTAAGGAAAGAAATCTTGGTCATTGCCTTGAGTCTGTACTAGTAGTGTTCTTTTTCGTTTTTGTCAAGTTTAAGGGTATATAGGCTGGAAACCAGTAACCGCCTTAAAAACTGCATGGTAGTATTTGGCGACTTCTGGTCTAACAACGCCACTTACACCTTAGATTGTATCACACTATCTGTATAATACAATGAGCGCTACACGTATGGAGATCTCCCAATACAATGGAAAGATCGATTTCGGGAGTTGGAAGAAGAAAATTAAGGCTCTGCTTTCATATAATAAAGTCGGTCTTGCACTGGAGAATCAAAAGAAATGGCCCGAGGAGAAATTGAAGGAGAAGGAGGAGATTGACGAAGCAGCCTACAATCTGATCGTGATGAACCTCTTAGACAGTGTACTGAGCAAGGTCGATGGAATCGAAACCCCTCTGGGGTTATGGGGTAAACTCGAAACTTTGTATGCACTTCAATCTGCACCAAACTTAGCTTTTCTCAGGGGTGCTCTGTTTTCTTATAAAATTGATAGTAGCAAGACAATAGAGGAGAACCTAGATGAATTCCTAAAAATGACCTTAATTTTAAAGGGCACATATCAGGAACTAAGAGAGACTAGTCTAGCCATGATACTGTTAAACTCCATTACTGAGGATTATCTTGTTGTTAAGAATGCACTTCAGTATTTTGATNTCATCACTAATGCCAATTGATGACGATTGTTGGGTATTGGTGTTTCCCCAACATTGTTTTGATGTGCTTAAATTTTCAAACCAAATCTCATCAGCCGTAAAAGAGTCAGAATCATTGTTACGATGCCATGACCAATGAGCACGGGTTTCGTCTAATATCCTCAACCGTCCATGTCCAAAGCTTGACTCTCGATACACTGACAGAGGGGATACTGGCTCCTTAAAACTTCACATTCAATCAAAATATAATATTAATTTCTAGCCATCCAAAGTTCTAAAACACAGAAGAGAAGACAAAATTTCCATAATCTCTTTGAAATCAATTTGGTTAAAATATATATTTTTCGAGCTGATCATACTAAGAATAGCTAAATTTAGTATCCCGAAACTCTTATATAATACTTAGATAATCTTATCAAGGAAAAACATGATAAACATTCTTCATTTTGAAATCAAATAGCACTTGTATCTTTAGTTTTTAAAAAGGTTTTCTATAATAACCAGAACTGCAACTAATGATATATTAATGATTAACAATTTCACGCTTGTGAAAAAGGAAAAATTACTTACTTTAATGCAAGTCCTTCTCTGTTCCCTCCATCACCAATTGTTATATACATGGGACCGCACGGGTCAGCTTTGTTATCGTATATCCTAGTCTGCAATTAATCGGAAAAACAAATTTTACAGTTAATCACTCATATATATACATTGCATAGGGTTTATTTTATGGACCCCCTTCTGAGATTGTTTAATCTTAAACACATCCAATAATATACTTGTCTAATTAGATCTGTAACTTCTAACTTGGACTTAATTATATCTCAATGATATTAGAAAAAAAAAAAAAAAAAAATACTTGATTAGTGATGAAGATACTTACAAATCGTTCATATGCATGAACATGGCCAGCAAAAATAATGTCGACTCGTGCCTTATACAGCAAGTCTTCCATAGATTTTCTCATGGATTCTCCTTCCCCTTGATGAGCAGAATTAGTATTATACCAAGGCGCATGCAAAAGAGCAATAACCCAGGGTGTCTTCTTCCTGTCAATCTTTGATAAATCAGCTTGAAGCCACTTGTACTGAGCTGAATCAGCATCAAAATCTGTGTAAGATCCCAACATAATAATGTGAGTTCCAGAAACATCAAAAGAATAGTACAAATTTGATGAAGATCCACTTTCTTCAAATGGCATTCGCCAACGGGCGTTGTAAGCCTTGAAACCGTGGGGTTGAATAATGGGGAAAGTCTCAATCTCATGGTTGCCCTCTGTCACCATCCATGGGCGGCTGCTGGCGTATGGCTCAACTAGACGACCGAATGAATCCCAAAGTGGTTGCTGGGTATCTGCATATGATAGATCACCTGGTAACAAAAATACATCGTAGTCTTTGCTTCCAACATGTGCTAGGGTTGAATTTGTCCATTCTGTTTGTCCAAGGTCTCCTGCATGGGACAATTTAATATTCTGCATTTTCAGCTCTAATAAACAAATCTGGACTCAAGTAAAGACCTATATAATTAACTACATAGTTCTAGAAAATTAACATCTCCGGAACAATAAAAGTAGAGAAGAAATAAACAAAAACAAAGCAGAGATTTTAATTGAAATTAATTAAAATACATGTAACAGTGGGATCAAATTCAATATTACCAATTGCTAGTGAAATAATGGATAAATACAATCAATTAAGCATATATAATAATGACTTTTAATCTTAAACAAAATTGATATAAAAGTAGTAGTATACAGTATACACTCTTCATTTTCTTTCCTTTTGGGAAAAGAAACAACGCCTTTCTTAAGCCCAAAAAGCAACATAGAACAAAACAAAAACATGTCTACTTTGTTTTGAATGAAACGTGCAAGTTAACATTCACCACAAATTAAACGCTACCAACTTTTGCTCAACGTCTAAATTTAGCTATTTAGGAAGAAGTATGAGTTGATATTTAGATCTAGATATATAAAAATCTACTTACCAACCACGGCGAATTCAATCGGAAAAGATGGAGGGGGTGTCTTGAATGAAAATTCTGGACCACAACCTCCACATCTGTAATAATAAATAGTGTCTGTTTCCAGTGGCCCAATCTTAACGTGGTGTATCTTGCTGGAGCTATAAAAGAAGTAATGATATGAGGTATGCTCTCCAGTTGCCATTGCATTATATTCACCTGGTACTTTTCCATATTCTACAATAGATGGTACCTTCTTATCATCCGTAATCCAAGATACTCTAATGTGATCTTTACCCGCTAAGGATATATGCACCTAAGATATTATTGAAAAGAAACTTTAACATTATGAAATGATGATATAGTAAAGAGTGTTAATGAAGAGACAGACCTGTTGAGGGTCGGATTCAGATCGTTTGTGTTGAGATAAGACCAGACCTCGAGCTGGTGGGCGAATATAGTCATGGGTTAATGCATAAGACGGTGAAATCTGAGAGAAAATGCACATGGTTAGAAGAATAGGGAACACAGGTGACAGCAAATTTTCCATAATTTTTTTGTTTAAGGATTCATGAGTTGTAATTAAGGTAGGGAAGGGGAGGGATATAAAAAAGGGTTTGGCGAGTTTGAAAAAATATAAATTATTAGTTGCAATGGCGTGAAGTATGTCCATTTAAGAATATTATTTTTGGATATGCTTACAGCAATGGATACACGGAACTCCACCCTCCCTCCCCCTCTATGTATCCCTCCCTCCCCCTCTATGTATCCTTTTGGCTTCACTTATCTTCAGTTACCACCACAGAAAAATATTCGTTCATTGTATAAAGCTTCTTTACTTAAATAATATGTCACACTATACTTTTATTATCATTTTTATTTATTGAATTAATTTTTAATTTTTACTATTTTATCACATCTATTTGTATACATACATGTATTTCTTATGTATAATTAATATATTTCCTTTTTCTTTATAGACCAATTTGCTTAACGTTCTTGTGTGTATAGAGGATTCGGTTTGGTTTTAGCGTTTTTGTCTTTCAAGATATACCCGATACTTAAAAGAATGTGTGAATAATGTATAATTAAGATGTATTTTCAAACAGTTTTCTTCTAATTACTAATTATTAGTTTATTTTTACTGGAATAAATTTGTAAAAGTTATTCTGTTCAATTAAAAGATTAAACCAACAATTTAATTGTAAAATTG